ATTATAAAGAAATAAAAAAACAAATTATTTAATTAGATGATGTTTATTTTGTGTTGTAAAATATTTATTTACCTTTATAAAATTTAGCTAAGTATTATTTTGTTATAAAGCAAAATATTAAATCATAATGTAAAAAATAATCATGTATTTTTCCGCAAATCGCCAAATCAATTTCTAATAAGGATAACACGCACCCAACCCACCAATAAAATTGGATATTTTCATGATGCTGCGCAAATTTGTGGATATTTTTGCGGAAAAATACATGATTTTATGTAAAAAATACTACGTATTTTATTTTCTGTATAAGAAAAAAATACCTTCATTCATTTTTTTTTACTAGGAGCAAGAATTTCTACCATTTATTCCTATTTAAGAAATTGCAAATAATAATAAATCAAATAATTATTATTTGTCAATCATATCCAAATCATATATACTACAATGCATAAATTTTTTTATTAAAAGAAAGAAAATTTGCTGGGTCACATTTTGCGTAAACAGTCAAATGATATTAATATATATTAATATATTTAATTGGGACTTGATAGGAAAAAACGGTTAAAAAAAAAAAGTAATTGGGTGAAAAAAGAAAATTGGTAGGAAAATGTCTATTAAAGAGTTTTTTATTTTTTAATTATTTTGACATTGTAATGAATTCACATAAATTTTGGGGTATTTAAAATCCACATGCCAAATTTTATTATAAATTTTTTTTTACATAACTACGACTCAAAAAATTTTAAAGAGGATGGTGGTGTTGTGGTTTCTACGGATTCGAAAGGCCAAAGACATTAAAATAGGGACTTGTAAAGAGAATAATCACATCTCAGTAGTTATGATCCAAAAAAATATAAATGGGATGGTGTTGTGGTTTCTATTAAACAATTCGTTTTATAATTCAAATACTTGTAATTCTCTGTCTATCAACACTATGTAAATACAGTGACAGTGTGAAACATGATATTTAGAATTGGTTTTATTGTGTTAATTATTTCGCCAGTCATAATAATAATAGTAATAATAAAATAACTTTAAGTCGTTATTTAATTAATGTCTTTATAAATACAAAAAGGAAAAAAATCTTTTAATTATTTAGTTTATAGATAAAGCAAAACTATTAAAAAATTGAAGAATCTGTAGTGATAAAAAGAGGTTGATCGAATTATAAATCATCATTTTGTTCTTGAGATTCCTTTGCTAACCTAAATTGTTCTTCAGAAAATTCATTCTGTAATTTATTAATCTCAGATTGGTAAGGATGAGAGGAAGAAAAAGAATAGTCTATGAAATTAAGAAAGATGTCATATGGACCTGAATGTATTTGACTACTTTGATGTTCCATGCGAATTATGCCCAAATAGAACATAAAATTTATTCTCATTGCGTTCAAATGTATTCTGCTAATTTTGAATTTATTTGTTTTATCTTTTTTTATTTCTACATAATCTTTCATCAATTGTAGTTTTTCAAAGTTAACAATTTTATTGCATATCATGATCAATGCAAAGAAGATGCTGTCGTTCTTTTGTTCTTTGAAATCCCCTTCTTCCAAAGCATTAAATAAATTTATTAACCTCATAATGACAAGTTCTATATCAATTTCTATAAAACCATCATTTGTAGAATAGTTGACTTTTCCTCTAATTACCACGTTTTCATTGTCCTTTTCACTTAAATTAATATGACCAAAAACATAATCTATCATTAGAAAGTACAAATAACATAACTTTGCATTTCCTTTAAGATGCCTTAATAACACACTAAATACAAATCTTATCCCTTTATCGGTTTCTTGTTGATAACTACGCCATTCTTAGTGAATTGCTTTGATTATCTCTACATCATGTGAAGCATTTTTTGCTGAATATTTATCAAATAAACAAAGACCTTCAAAATCTCGATGATCTTGTAAAAATCTTTTTGAAATGTTTCTAAACATACTAAGATCTTTAAAATTTTGACTTTTTCCTAAAATTTCTCTAAATTTATTTGTTTTTTGTTCTTCTTCCATTATTATTATTATAAAGTCAAATTATATTTAAGAAAAGAAAAAGAGCAAAAAAAATTTCATTTATATAAAGTTTATTCTCGATAACTACACTACACGTATTGTAAAGTAGTGAATTTCTTTTGCCATATGATATGCGTTAATCTATTGTCAGTTGTCAAGAAAATCAATCTATTGTTACCATTACTATTACTGCGATGCAATTAATGGTAATAAAATACGTTTTTTGTTGTTATGTAGTTTTTATTAGTAAAAAACAAACAATCAGATGACTTGATTTAGAAGAATTATCTTAACAAATTTTAATTTAGTAAATTTTTAAAAAAGACAATTCTGAGGAATTAAATTGTTGGTATTTTGATAATACATTATAATTAATAATACAATAATAATACACAAGAATATATTTAAAAATCAAGTAAAAAAAATTAATCCCATGACGGGTGACGACTTTTATTTTGCTCACTTTTTTTTAAAAAATATCTCTTAATAATTTTGTGAAACATCGGCTTCTGCTCATATGAAATTTTATGTAGAAGTCCAACGAAGAATTAACTGAAAGGTAATCAGATTCGTAAAGGGTCTGTTACGGCAAACGATCCAAGCACAACAATATTATTTATTTTTAAAAATTTTTTTTCTTTCAAATGATATCCGCAATTTTCTGGATATTATATTTTTCATCGTCAATTATAAATATAAAATTTATTTTATACAGAAATCTCATAAGCCCTTTGTTGTCTCTTCATTGTCGATATATAATATAGTATTAGTGTTAATTATTACAAGTATTGCATGTAATTATGGATTAGTTTCGAATATCTAAAATCATGTGTATATCAAATCGTTACTATTAATATTAGCAATTATAAAATTTAATTCAATTACTCACGATTGTTGTTATATAGGATACTTATATAAATTTCCTTTTGATTTTTATTATCTCTGTTCCTGAGTCATTGATGAAAAACCCCCATTTTTTTAAATTCTTGATACTAAATAAAACTTGCGATTGTTTAAAACAATACAGTTGAAAAATCTCCAAATAAGTAAAATTGTTAAAATAGTAAACAATAAAATTTGTGTGATGTCACATGACATGTTTTTATATAGGTCTTCATAGCTAAAGTATGCAAAATGCATTTAATTGAATCAAAAAAATTTCACATACAAATTCTAAATATTTTTATTTCATACAAAAGTTGCAATATATTTTGTTTCTAGAGATTACAAAAAAACATAATTCAGTTCATATTAAAAGTTTCTTCTTGTAGAATGAATGGTACAGTCATATTTCTACTCGAGAAATATCAATATGAAAGGATAATTCACTGTCCAAAAAAGGAATATGAAATAATGGATCACAAGAATATTCTAAATAATGGGAGACCTCTAATTAACTTTACTGAGTGTTGAGTAATTTAAACTATATATTGTATGGCTATTACTATCTTATATTACAAAGGGGATTTTAATATACCCGGAGTGGTTCACCCCTTTCTTTCTATCAAATAGCATGTTAATACAGGCGATGATCGACTATTTTTTATAATGTATTCTTTGTATTAATAATAACGGACGTTTTCTCCAAGCCAATTGATCCGTTGACTGTATATTATTCAGATTACTTTCTAAAAAATAATATTTGGTAAAATTAGCGCATTTCAAATGGTTTTTGTCATTTAGAAAGATGTCCTTTATATACAGAGTCGAAAAAATTGATTAATGGATTTCTTAAAAGATAAATTAAAGTTGTGGATTTAATTGGAGGTTTTTTTAAATTTCGTGTGGCTTGACCAAATCTTTGCAGATCGCTATGTTTTGCAGATCATAAAACAGTAATGATGATTGGTCACAAACTTTTTTGAAATAAACCTTAAAGATATAATATTTATTTATATGTATGTTTCCTTACTTTTTCTCTACGCTTTGATTGTTACTTGTATTTATTTATATATTAAATAACGATTCACATTGTTGCCTTTATAGCAAACTAAAAACTAAAAGTGTAAAATTAACAAGTATTAACTGTTTATCAATTTTTTTGTGTTCTTTAAAATTTATTATAGCGATTTTCAAATAATAAATAATGAAAATCATATACTAATCATCTACAAAAAAAAATGTGTTTTTTCAATTATAGGATAAAGATAAAAAGATTAATATATAATAATAAATCATCTACAATTAAATAAATAAATAATGAGCGATTCTTCTTCCGACCCTGAAACTCCAATCTCAAATGATTCTAATGGTCTTAATAAAGTAAAAAGTAACAAAGATGATAACGACGAAGCTTTAACTAATGAAATAAAATTGGAATCATCAACCATCACTGCAACAACACAAACTGCATCAACTACAATTACCACCACAAATAACACTACTGATGCTGATAACACTTCCATTAAATCACCCAACACAAAAGCATTAACAAAGTATGTCAATCAAGTATAAAATCTTTTTTTGATCAAGACCAGGGCTGGCCGCGTAACTCAAATGAGCACTTGGCTAAGCTGACTAAGCTATTTAGTCAAGACAATTATTACTAAATTAGGTTTTTACCCCCTGATCAGAGACATTATTTTAATGATATTGGTTCAACCAGGATTGCTCACCATGGTTTATTGGAAGAAGAGGGATGGCAGATGTTATTTCTATTCCACAGAATTTAATTGTTTGGTTTTTTTAATTTATTTATTTTTTCATAATTATTATTTATTTATTTTGTTGTAATTAATAAATAATATTGGAGTTGTTAATGTCATTTCAATTCATCCACTGGTAGAAAATGGATATTTGTTATTCATTATTGATGAGCAATTAGTAATTGGAAAGTAATTCTGTTGATTCTATTGAAATTTATATTTTTGTAATTACATTTATTAGAATTTCAGAAGGATTATTTTCACAAAAATGTGAATTAGGTGGAAACTTTATATATATGCACACATCAAGTCTTCATAATATATTGTTTTGGTACTGATTCAAATTTCGATTGTTATAATTCTGGTGATTTTTAAAAGTTTTTTAATGTCGTATCTATTTTTGGGTAAAGTTTAAAGGGTTATTATCAACTTGGGGTAAGCCTAATTATAATATTAGTGTTGGGATTTTGAAAATTTTGGGGTAGCCTGTCTATGTAGTTTCCAGGGTCCTGCTTCCAGTTACTTTTTGTAGGGAAATGTATAATAGTAGTAATAGTGGTGGTGCTTGTGCCGACGAAATAATAAGAATGATCCATCAATCCTAATATTTGTTATAATGATGACGGTATTAATGATTTTGCATTATCATCTTTCCAAAGTACAATACAACTATTATCAACATCATCTAATACATATTCATCAATATCAATACCAAATACTTTCGACGAGGCTATGTTTTGTGAGTCACTATGCCATAAACATTTTTTATATTTAATAACAATTCTTAAACACAAATTTTTTTGTCTTAAAATCCAAAGTCTCAGCTCCAGAAGCTCGTGTTGAAGTTTCGATATGAATTAGAAAAGATATAGTGGGATTGTATATTCTTCACATATCCTGTTATAAAATTACCAATTCTGTTACATAAAATAAATTTTCACCATTCCAACACAAGTAGGATGATAAAACAAGAATCACAATCATTTTATTGTTTTGGATGTTTCCCACCATCAATCTTTTACATGGATTCCATAATGTAATTCAATAGAGAGTAAGTCTTCATTTTTAAAATTTAAATAAAGTAGCGGTCACAGGATCTAAAAAAGAATATTCTTTGCCGATCTTCAATTTATTTATTTAAAATAATAATAATAATAATAATGAAATAAAGTTAATATTAAGAAAATTTAATTGATGTTTGATTCCTGATGATTTTTTTCATTAATTAAAAATCCTCATCTATTCAAAAATATTACTTTAAGTAATCCATCATGTTTGTATGTTAAAAAATTGTGATTTCAAAAAAAGACACAAGCCCAAAATCTGTAAGAACTATAAAAATTTTTATTATATAAAAAGAGGAAATTTTTTTTTTCAAGTTGTGGAAGGTGTCGCATCAGTCACATTAGGTGTTGGGTTAGATGCTGCCTTGTTTGAATGAATTTTTTGGTGACGGCGAAGGTTACTAACGACTGAAAAGTGACGTCCACACTCTTCTACTGGACATTTAAATGCTAAAAGAAACAAATGAAATTAATTAATAAAAAATAATCCAAATTACAGTAAATTAAATCAATCAATTAATTTAGAATGCTTACGTTTTTCACCTGTATGACTATACATATGTGTTTGCAGAGAACTTGGTCTTGTAAATCTTTTTTGACAAATTTCACATTTATATCTTTTAGGAGTCGATGAAATAGTTTTTGAATTAAAAGTAGTCATCATAGCTTGAGGAGAGGATACACTTGGAGATAATGTTTGTGGTTTATCTGGTGTGCCTCCATTATTATTATTTGAAATAACAGCTATATCATTTGTAACAGTATAACCTGCACCACCACCACCACCACTCAAGGCAGCAATTGTTGCATATTCTTGTGGTGTAGTGCCCATTGCATAATTAACAGGTTCATGTTGAGCTAAACCGATTGGAGGTTGACCATAATAGTTAACTGGAGCAGCGGTTGTGGTAGCAGCAGCTGTACGAGCTAATTTCATTGAAGGATCATTGAAAAGAGCAGGATCCAATGCATGTTCTTCATAAGTTTTTGCTGGTTTTGGAGGATAAGGACCAAAAGGATAAGCTGAACTACTATTATTAGTCCATATTTCTTCAGTTTTTACAACACAATCGGATGATTCAGCAGCACTTGTATTATCACTAAATAATATATGAGGAAGGAGGAGGGAAGGATGAATAGGAAATTATAATTATAATCAAGTGATAATTATGATAATCATTTTTAATAATAATTTATAAATTATTAGCTCATACACTGTTGATGTTGGTGCATTATCGAGTGCTTTTGTGTTGTTGGATGCTTTATTTAAATCCGCACTACTAATAGTGGCATCATTAGTAATTGTTTCAGTGGATGTAATGGCGTTTTTAATGGATTCAATTGTTGATGATGATCTTTGAATTTCATTAGTAGATGAAAATTTATCACTAGAAGTTTCGTTATTATTAGCCCCACCATTATTATTTACTTTAAAATCATTATTAGAACTATTGGAGGCTGGATTAATTGAAGAATTGCTCATTATTATTTTTATTTTGTAGATGATTTTTAATATATATGTATATATATTTTGCTGATTATTTTCTGTTGAATGTTAATCTTTATGTCTAAATATAATATGACATTTGATAACAATTTATCAATATTCTTTTTACTATTTCTTAATTGCTTACTCATGATGATGAAAAATTGTAGCACCATTATAAAGTTTGCAGATAAAATATCACCATTTTCTGCCATTTGATCAATCTCAAGCAAAGTACTTTAATCAATGAAACGATGTCTCTTTGTTTAAGTTTGGATCGAATAATCAACCAAGTTTAATTGAGCAAAGTCAAAATCTTGAGATTGGTAACAGCAGAGCTGTTTCCTTTAATATTTTCCCAAAACATCCAAAGTTTTAGATGCTATCTTCTACATGTGCACCTTCTATTTGCAGATAAGTCATCTTTACACACCCATTTCTCAACTCTCCAACAATGTTTCCAGCATTCGTGATAAATTAAAATATTTGAATAAGAGTGCTAACAACCAAGAACACACGAGCATCATACTGTTTGCGCACGTCTCTTCTTCTAGAAGCGTTGCTTAATTTCGAGTAGTAACTCTTAATATCTGAGCTTTGTAATGGCCCTAGAAAACATCATATTGTTGTTCATGATTAAGTTAATCTAACTCAAAGAAAAAGATTGCAACAATCCCATAAACATATCCTCCATAGTGAATGAGTCATATATGACAACCTTACAGAGGTATCTATAGTCACATGTGACTGTTGTAAAATGTGTAATAGATGCGCTAGCGTAAATCGAACGTTGTAAGAAGGGGAAGCAAACAGGTTGGGGAAAGTTCAAGTTTTTTCGCAGCAGTAAAAATATCTAAAAATATAGAAATTAAAAATTAATGACCGAGAAATTGGTTTTTAATAGTCGTACGAAATTTACCCACTATGAATCTGTGTAACGGTATCTTGTTATGTTTGGCTTTGTTGTATATTAGAGAAAGATATATTTAATAATATATCTTTTATTCCCACTAAAAAAA